CCCCCCCCGCTTAACAATTAAGCAGCAGAAAATATTGTGAAATATTATTACAATTTAGAGGAATTGGTTTCTATTTTAATATATTTTAAAATGTAATTTACAAATAAATAAAATAATTTAAAAATACAAGATATGTAGTGTGTTGCCCCCCTCCCCCCCAAAAAAATTAAGCAACAAAAAATATTGTGAAATATTATTACAATTTAGAAGAATTGGTTTCCATTTTAATATATTTTAAAATGTAATTTACAAATAAATAAAATAATTTAAAAATACAAGATATGTAGTGTGTTGCCCCCCTCCCCCCCAAAAAAATTAAGCAACAAAAAATATTGTGAAATATTATTACAATTTAGAAGAATTGGTTTCCATTTTAATATATTTTAAAATGTAATTTACAAATAAATAAAATAATTTAAAAATACAAGATATGTAGTGTGTTGCCCCCCTCCCCCCCAAAAAAATTAAGCAACAAAAAATATTGTGAAATATTATTACAATTTAGAAGAATTGGTTTCCATTTTAATATATTTTAAAATGTAATTTACAAATAAATAAAATAATTTAAAAATATAAGATATGTAAAATTTTTGAATGGTAGTGAATTGGTTTCCCCAAAAAAAGTTAATACACAAAAAACCTTTTTAACATTAATAATAATAAGAAATGTTTCTTGAGCAGCAAATCAACATATTGCTTCAGAATGATTTCTGAAGCATCATGTGACACTGAAGACTGGAGTAATGATGCTGAAAATTCAACTTTACATCACTGGGATAAATGGCATTTTATAATATAATTAAATAGATAACAGTTAACAATAGATAACAATTTTAATTTGTAATAATATTTCATAATATTCACTGATTTTACTATATTTTTAATCAAATAAATGCAGCCTTGGATCGCATAAGAGACGTCTCTCAAAAATCTTTTTAAAAAAATCTTAATTATTTCATGTTTTGAACAGTAGTGGATGTCATAACTGTAAGTTTATTTCTCAGAATGTGATTTTATATCCGACAACATAAATGTATTTCTTATTTAAAACATGATCTTATAATGACTTTTTATTTTTTACTATAAAGGACTGAAACAGGCTTTCATAGACTTTTCAATCTTCTTTCACAGGACCTTCCAAGGTTCACAGAATCAAAATTTTGCCTTCATTGTTGCATAAAGTTACACACACACACACACACACACACACACACACACACACAGCTCTAATTTGCTTATGCTCACCTTTCTCTGGACTTTCACCGAATCCAGGCAGCACGTATCCATTTTGGTCCTCTTCTCCTTGAGTCCCTGTGGAGGTTGTTTCGGGAGGTCCTGATAGGCTGTCCCGCTGTGACATGTAAGCGCTGTCCTCACGATGTGTGACCCTCCTCATGCTGCCAACCAATGAGAAGTCCTCGTTCATTTCCAGCTCCACCGCAGTTCCCTGTCCCTCCGAGCTCTCAGAAACTGTGCATCCAGAGTCGAGACGGGACCGAGAGGCCCATCCCGTCTACAGCAAAATGAGGTGGACAATATATTGATTATAAGCTGTATATTAGGCCATATGCTCTTAGATATGTGCATTATACCTCCAATATTCATTCCTTACACATCAAATGTAGTTTTTATGTGGATGTATGATTAAAACCTTACCTGTGCTGAGCTCTCCAGACCAGGCGTCATTGGTAGATATCCAGCAACATTGGACGGAGTAAGACTTGACTGGTGTAACAATAAAAAGAGAAGTGTCAAAAAGATATGTAGCTTATTAATTCATTATTTATAGAGCCTCCACAGATCATCTGAAAATATACGCTAGCGTTCAAAAGTTTGGGACTAGTAAGATTTTTTTAAAGAAATTAATATTCTTATTCTATTAGAATGCATTAAATTTACAAAATTAAATTGTTGCAAAAGATTTATATTTCAGATAAATACTATTCTTCTGTTTGAGCTCTGAAAAATGAGTATGATGCTGTCCACAAAAATATTAAGAAGCACATAGTTTTCAGCATTGATACTATTAAGAAATGTTCTTTCTTGAGCATAATTAGAAGGATCATATGACTCTGAAGACTGGAGTAATGATCCTGAAAATTCAGCTTTGCATCAAAGGAAGAAATGTCATTTTAAAATATATCAAATTAGACAACTTTCAATGTAAAATGCAGACTAAGTGAACATAAGAGAGGCTTCTTTCAATTATATAAAATATCTTACCAACCTCAAATTTTTTGAATAGTGAACGATGTGCATTAGTCTATTTTCAAACCTTCATGTATTAATTCTGATCAATATTATAAAACACACCCGATGAGAATCTATACGCAGTCTAGAGAAACTCCTAGATGGCGTTATGTAGCGTGGCATGTCTGTGGTATCTTCCAAGACTTCATCTTCCTGGTCCTCCAGCGCCACCCCTAGAATGTCCATCTCAGTTCCTCTCTGATGGGACTCTTCTGAGGCCGCGTCAGGAGCTCTGTACTCCTCCTAGTGGTGGAGCACCAATCAACAACATTCATCTAAACAGCAACATACAATGAAGTATGATGAAATACTCCATCAGTTTGACTTACTTTGATGACGAGATATCGGGAGGGGTCTCTGGCCATTCGGGTGAACTCATTGGCTAGCTCTTTAAAAGTTGGCCGAACATTTTCATCAATCATCCAACCTGTTAAAGTAAGCCAATAAATATTTATTTAGTCAAATACATAAAAAAACGAAAATAAATCATATGTTAAAAGTGAAAGTAAATAATGCTACAAGTGAATTTAAGCATCTCAACATTATAATGTAATAATAACCTTTATTTGACCCTCTAACTCTAGCACTTTCTATTCTATTTTAATTCTACTTTATGCAATTAGTTAGAAATTTTAATATAGCTCTGTGCATGTAATATTGCATCTTTTATTGTCCTCATTTGTAAGTCGCTTTGGATAAAAGTGTCTGCTAAATGACTAAATGTAAATGTAAATAATGTACAATATAATGTGCGCAAAATGGGTAATCATTTAATTTAACAGTATTTTTAAAATTATGAATGTTTTTAAAGCACGCACAAGCATATTTTATTATTGTTAACTAATACCAAAAGAAAAATCATAAAAAATATAAATATTAAATAAATATTCAATATTATATTGTATAAAGTTATATTTAAACTGAACTTAAACATTTAGAAATGCATATATAAAACTAGCAAACACAAAAAAGCACAAAGGAAAATTACTAAAACTAAACTAAAAAATACAAAAAAATAAAAGCTAATAAACTTTTATTTTAAATACTAAAAAAACACTGCAGATAAAAAAAAAAAATCTAATATCTGATTTGGTACTTATATATTGTGCATCGCTAATTTTCATTTACAAACTTTTCATGCTAACATCTGCAAGAATGTATATGTAGAGTGTCAAGATGATAAAAGAGATAAAGCACAAGATCACTGCCACTTTGCATTATGGGTTATAAGACGACTCAACTCACATTTGACCATGACCATGTAGACATCAATGGTGCAGATCTGAGGTTGAGAGAGGCGTTCCCCTTTCTCTAACAGATCAGGTACTTCTTGTGGTCGCATAGCAGAGTAAGGCTCCGCCCCATATGACATCATTTCCCAGACTGTCACACCTAGAGATAGAGTGACCTCTTGTTAAATCATCAGATCCAAAGTGCAGTGTTTTACAGTAGCATTTTATGGTGCGACACATGGACTCACCATAGCTCCATACATCACTCTGGTGTGTGTATCTGCGGAACAAGATGCTTTCCAGCGCCATCCACTTAATTGGCGTCTAAAAATGACAAACATTAGGGAAAGGGTCAGAGGCACAGTTCAGCGATACTGCTTGAGGAACTGCTTTGAATACAGTAGCAGTACATATACACTAACAATCAAATGTTTTGAATAATTAATTTTTTTTTTCATGTTTTGGAAAAAAAGTCTCTTATGCTCAACAAGGCTTCATTTATATAATTAAAACACAGTAAAAATAGTAATATTGTAAAATACTATTACAATTTAAAAGAACTCTTTTTATTTGAATATATTTTTAAATGTAATTTATTTCTGTGATCAAAGCAAACTTTTAGCATCATTACTCCAGTCTTCAGTGTCACATGATCCTTCAGAAATCATTCTAATATGCTGATTTGAGCTCAAAAAACATTGACTGTTTTCATGGATTCTTTAATGAACAGAAAGTTCATTAAAACAGACATCTTTTGTAACATTATAAATGACTTTACTGACACTTTTAATCAATTAAATGTGTCCTTGCTGAATAAAATTATGCATTTTTTTTTTACATCTTTCTTACCCCAAACTTAGTGTATCAGTTTCCACAAAAATATTAAGCACAACTATTTTCAACATTCATAACACTATTTTTTTCTTGAGCAGCAAATCAGCATATTAGAATAATAAAATAATAAATAATAATAAAATATTTCAGAATATTCGTTTTTACTGTATTTATTTATTTGTTTTTACCATGTGTAATTATTATTTTCAAATAAATGCAGCCTTAGTGAGCATAAGAGACTTCTTTCAAAAACATTGGAAAATCTTTATTATTTCAAACTTTTTAAGTCTGCTTTACATTAATTTCATTGAAGAAGTATTTCTTGTCATCAGGGTAGAGGAGGTCAGCGATGCCATAATCAGCTATTTGAACCATAAAGTCGCTCTTGAGCAGGATGTTGCGGGCAGCCAGGTTCCTGTGGACCATTCGCTGCTCCTCTAGATAGTACATACCCTAGGAGGAAGGCGAGGAAAGTCTTTAGTTGTTAAGTGGGCTTGAAATGATCTGAATACCTTGAAACACATTTTGTGCCCCTCTCACCTTGGCAATCTGCACACACCAGTTGAGCAGTCTCTGAGGGTTGAGGCTCTCTCTGCGCTGCCGGATGTGCTCCAGCAAAGACCCCTGTGGGCTGAGCTGAGTGACCAGCTGCAGACTGGGCCCGGGACAGATGCCTAAGAGCCGGACTATATACGGGTGGTCCAGGCTCCCCATACCCAACATATGCTGCAGGACAGAAAGAAATCATTTACAACGCCATTTAGTATGTGGGTTGATTTTGAATGTTTTTATGTGGTTGTTTTGTAAAGGATATTAATGAATACAAATTAATAGTCATCACTTCCTAATTTAAAACTTCTAAAAGTCACTATTAACAAAAATTAAATTAAATTAAATTAAATTATTAACCAGTAATTGTGTTTGTTTATTATCACATAGCACTTTTAAAAGTTTGGGATCAGTAAAAATGTTTAGATTTGAAGCTAAAAATACTCCTTTGCTCACCAAGGCTGCATTTATTTGATCAAAGCTACAGTAAAAACAGCAAAATTGTGAAATATTATTACAAATGAAATGTATTGATTTCTATTAAAATATATTTAAAAATGTAATTTATTCCTGGGACGCAAAGCTGAATTTTTAGCATCATTACTTCAGTCTTCAGTGTCACATGATCCTTTAAAAATCATTCTAATGTGCAGACAAGGATGCCCGCTGTCTCCCCTGCTGTTTGCTATTAGCATCGAACCCTTTGCCCAGCTTATACAGGACGACAGTGCAGTTAAGGGCATTATAGTGTGTGGAGAGGAACATAAATTGTCATTATATGCCAACGATGTCCTACTCTTCCTAATAGAACACTGCAAAAATGGCTTATCTTGCTTAGTATTTTTGTCTCGTTTCCAGTCAAAATATCTAAAAATTCTTAAATCAAGATACTTTTACTAGATAAGCCAAATGACTTAAGATATTTAGTCTTGTTTCCAGAGGGAAAAAAATAAATTAAGTGCATTTTGCTTAAAACAATTTAAATTATCTGCCAGTGGGGCAAGTAAAATATTCTTAAAACAAGAGTATTTTACTTACCCACTGGCAGATAATTTTACTTGTTTTAAGCAAAATGCACTTCATCTAGTTTTTGTTTTAGTTTTTGATACAAATACGTACGAAAGATGTATTTGATGCTCTTAAAGAAATCTTATCAAAATATAACAAAATATACTTATTACAAATTCTACTTGCCGCAGCTATTAAGTGCATCACATGCAGATGGTTAAAACCTGACCCTCCATCATACAATGTCTGGATTCAAAAAGTGTGGGAGCTGTACGAAATGGAACAAATCACATATGCATTGCGACTTCAAAAAACAACTTTTCTAAAGATGTGGGCCCCTGCCATGCCTTTAATATTTCAATAATGAGCTATACTGGCATCCCCCTTCTCTATCCACCTTATTATTTTATTTTTTTTTACTTTATTTTTTTTTTTCTTTTTTTCTGCTTTTCTGTGATCTTACTAGGTGTACTGGGATGTTTTCATTTTCTGCATAACATGTCTGATATAATTGAGACTGAGCTACTGTCAATGTAGCTGGAATATAAAGGACTAACATGTTAAACTGTAATACTGTACTGTATGCAATGTTGTGGTTCAGAATAAAAATAAGTTTCAAAAAATCATTCTAATATGGTGATTTTCTGCTCAAGAAACATTTCGTCTTATTATTAATGCTGAAAACAGTTGTGCAGCCAGGGACGCGGGAAGTAGGGGTGCTGAGGGGACTGCAGCACCCCCTGTTTTCACATGGTTGCAAATGCAACGGCAAGTTTGTTCATTTAAATTTATTCAGTTTTAGCATTTAATAATTTATTTGTAATGATCTCTGAAATGTGTAAGTGGGCTATAACAAACCCATGTTTATCTTTATAAACATGATTAATTTTACTTGTGATGTTTTCTATATGGGAGCCTAATCCTCATGAACACGTGATGCTGGCGCGTGGTATCGGACGTGAACTATACACAGAATAACTTCACTATTAACAAAAATTAAATTAAATTAAATTAAATTATTAACCAGTAATTGTGTTTGTTTATTATCACATAGCACTTTTAAAAGTTTGGGATCAGTAAAAATGTTTAGATTTGAAGCTAAAAATACTCCTTTGCTCACCAAGGCTGCATTTATTTGATCAAAGCTACAGTAAAAACAGCAAAATTGTGAAATATTATTACAAATGAAATGTATTGATTTCTATTAAAATATATTTAAAAATGTAATTTATTCCTGGGACGCAAAGCTGAATTTTTAGCATCATTACTTCAGTCTTCAGTGTCACATGATCCTTTAAAAATCATTCTAATGTGCAGACAAGGATGCCCGCTGTCTCCCCTGCTGTTTGCTATTAGCATCGAACCCTTTGCCCAGCTTATACAGGACGACAGTGCAGTTAAGGGCATTATAGTGTGTGGAGAGGAACATAAATTGTCATTATATGCCAACGATGTCCTACTCTTCCTAATAGAACACTGCAAAAATGGCTTATCTTGCTTAGTATTTTTGTCTCGTTTCCAGTCAAAATATCTAAAAATTCTTAAATCAAGATACTTTTACTAGATAAGCCAAATGACTTAAGATATTTAGTCTTGTTTCCAGAGGGAAAAAAATAAATTAAGTGCATTTTGCTTAAAACAATTTAAATTATCTGCCAGTGGGGCAAGTAAAATATTCTTAAAACAAGAGTATTTTACTTACCCACTGGCAGATAATTTTACTTGTTTTAAGCAAAATGCACTTCATCTAGTTTTTGTTTTAGTTTTTGATACAAATACGTACGAAAGATGTATTTGATGCTCTTAAAGAAATCTTATCAAAATATAACAAAATATACTTATTACAAATTCTACTTGCCGCAGCTATTAAGTGCATCACATGCAGATGGTTAAAACCTGACCCTCCATCATACAATGTCTGGATTCAAAAAGTGTGGGAGCTGTACGAAATGGAACAAATCACATATGCATTGCGACTTCAAAAAACAACTTTTCTAAAGATGTGGGCCCCTGCCATGCCTTTAATATTTCAATAATGAGCTATACTGGCATCCCCCTTCTCTATCCACCTTATTATTTTATTTTTTTTTACTTTATTTTTTTTTTTCTTTTTTTCTGCTTTTCTGTGATCTTACTAGGTGTACTGGGATGTTTTCATTTTCTGCATAACATGTCTGATATAATTGAGACTGAGCTACTGTCAATGTAGCTGGAATATAAAGGACTAACATGTTAAACTGTAAGACTGTACTGTATGCAATGTTGTGGTTCAGAATAAAAATAAGTTTCAAAAAATCATTCTAATATGGTGATTTTCTGCTCAAGAAACATTTCGTCTTATTATTAATGCTGAAAACAGTTGTGCAGCCAGGGACGCGGGAAGTAGGGGTGCTGAGGGGACTGCAGCACCCCCTGTTTTCACATGGTTGCAAATGCAACGGCAGGTTTGTTCATTTAAATTAATTCAGTTTTAGCATTTAATAATTTATTTGTAATGATCTCTGAAATGTGTAAGTGGGCTATAACAAACCCATGTTTATCTTTATAAACATGATTAATTTTACTTGTGATGTTTTCTATATGGGAGCCTAATCCTCATGAACACGTGATGCTGGCGCGTGGTATCGGACATGAACTATACACAGAATAACTTTAATACAAGGAGATAATGGCGCAAAAGCGAATTTCAGATTTTTTTAAATGCCCGTCCCAGCAAAAACTTTCCAAAATAGGCATCCAACACCAGCCCCAGCACGAGCACCGACGTAAGTGAACCAGCTCCAGCACGAGCACGGAGACAAGTAAGCCTAGCGGACCCAGCCCAACCCCCGAGATTGATCAGCTACTATCGATAACTTCAAAAATGTGATATGCAGTCAAATTTCCCAGTGTGTATGCTACTTAAAGGAGTGTTCATATTGACGCACTTGTAGTGCTTTGTGGAGTTGTCAAATGAGGTGACCACCGCCCCCCCGCCTCCCTTTCACCCAACACGGACACACACAGCACCCCCAACCAAAAACATCTTCCTGCGCCCCTGTGTGCAGCTTAATATTTGTATGGACTCTGTCATATATTTTTATATTCTTAATTGAATAGAAAGTTCCAATAAACATCATTTATTTAAAATAAATTTTTTGTAACATTATAAATGCTTTTACTGTCACTTTTGATCTTTGCAGAATAAAAGCATTAATTAAAACAATATTTCTAAAAATATTTGTCAAGTTCCCCGTTTACTGTATATCTGTAATTTTTTTTTAAATATTTATCGCCCACAAGGCAAACTTTCAAATAATCGTTTACCATAAGTAAAAATAAAAAAAGTGCATAAAATGATTATTTTATGCAAAAATAACAATAAAATAAACATAAAGCAAACAAATAAACTAATTTATCAGTGTATATAGTATATTAGTAGTGTATATAGGCAATGTGTGTGTGTGTCTTACATCTGTAATTTCCTGAAAGGTCTGTCGTCCTGTACGGTCTTGAATAGTCTTGATAGCCACTGGAATCTTTACCGTGTCTCCCTCTGGTATCCAAACCCCCTGTGAAGAAACAAATGAAATACAGTTAAATAACAGAGTAAGAGAGTCAACATAAGCAAGAAAACAATGTATTAGGAGAACACCCAGAGGAAATGCTTCAGTAAGTGATATGAGCTATTGTCAGGTTTCGGGGTGAGCTCATGTAATGACATGAGAGCGTGTAAGTACAATACCTTGTGCACAGTGCCGAACACTCCAGAGCCGAGAGGTTTGATCTTCCGTAGCTCAGACCCCCTCAGAATCCGTGCATGAACTTTCACGCCTTTTTCTCCAGGATCCAGTGGTTCGAAACTCTAAAACACATTTTTAAACCTTAGAAAACTTCACAACACTTCAACAGTTCAATTTGCTGGTTCATATGCATATGTGCACACACCTCCCCACTCTGCAGATATCTCCTCATGGCACGTTTTCTGCGGATGGCGACACTTCTGCGATACAGAACGCTCAGCACAAACACTGAGAATGCGAGCAGCACCCCGAATATAACGCTCAGCACTATTGCTGTCACAGGCAACCTAAAACACAAAATGCATAATTACACACTGACAGGCAGCTGCAGGCCACACATCACACCAGCAGGGGGAGACACTTACCCAGCATCTGACCTGGACGGATCCACACAGTCATTCTGACCTGGACCCAAACATCTGACACAGAAGACATACAGGCATCTTTAACTGATTTGCAAAAATATTTCAGTAATATTAGGCATTGCAATGACATACAATACTGTTTTTTATTTTATTTTAAAAAGAAATGAATACTTTTAATAATTCTTTTAAAGAAATTAATACTTTACAGCAAAATGTGTTCAATAAACAAAAGATTTCTATTTCAAATAAATTCTGTTCTTTTAAACTTTCTATTGGTTAAAAATCCTGATTAAAGTTTCTACAAAACTGTTAATCAGCACAACAGTTTTCAGCATTGATAACAATATTTCTTGAGGAGCAAATCAACATATTAGAATGATTTCTGAAGATCATGTGACACTAAAGACTGGAGTAATGATGCTGAAAATTCAGCTTTGCATCACAGGAATAAATTACATATACATAAACAAAACTGTGCAAATATATGGGCTAAATGTAAAAAATGTAAAATAGAAAATATTTAATTTAAATAATTTATTATTAGACTTAATTTGAACACTTAATTTATTATTATTATTTATAATTTATACAGAAATAATATGTGATATATAACGGCAACTTTAAATGTTTTCTATTTTAAAGTCATTTATTTCTTTAAATACATATTAAATACACTTTAAATATATATAATTTATTTTAAAATGTAATTTAATGTAAATTTTACTGTATTTTTAATCAAATGAATGCTGCCTTGTTGAAAATAGAAAACAGTTCTTTTAAATTGTAATAATATTCTAAAATATTACTGTTTTTATATTTATTTATTTATTTTGTAAAATAAATGTACCCTTGGTGAGCACAAGAGAATTCTTTCAAAAATAAAAAAAAATAAATAAATCTTGTTAACCCCAAACTTCTGAATAGTAGTGTACACTTATGCTTGTGAGGAATAAACTGGCCACTGCGTCTTATATTAATTGAAAATTAATATCTCAGAGTTCAAAAACAGAGTTCAGAGTTCTTAATTTACTGTAAATCTGATTTTTCTTTTTATCCCCCATCGGGCAAACTGAATTTTTTTGTAAAACATTTTTTGTGCATTTTATGCATATTAACCCTTTATTTCATATAATAAATTGCACTTTATTGACATTCTGAGCTTCCTCACCCCAGGGTGCAGTTGGCATAGCACGGTTGGCATTTGTGCTGGCTGTTGGAGAACTTATAAATGATGAGCCCGTTCTCCCCCTGAACCCCCTCTGGACATGAGGACACACAGTACGGCCCGTCCTGCAAATGCGCACAGGCTGCACACTCGTCAGCACCCTGCAGGAAGAATAAAACAGAGAGATTATTTAATAAATCAAACAATCCGTGCAAACAGTGAATGACATTCTATCAGAGCTCAATAGATTACACACCGGTCCTGTGCAGGTGTGTTTGCCGTCCTGTACTGCACACTCCTGGTGACACGGCATACACTCTCTTTTAGGTCCGGCAAACTCGCGTTTTTCACTGTAGAGAGCAAAAGAGATCATTCAGGGGTCTGGAAATCTCTTCTTAGTAGTTCTCACAGTACTAAATCATTCGGGATATTGTTTTCTCATCTACAGCACACATATTAAAACAACACTCACTGGGTGTGTCTCAATCCACTCCCTAGTTCACTGCCTAGGGAGCACGTGTCTTGGCACCGTTTCAGTGTCAAAATTACAGGGCACTGAAATTTTCATTCCAGATTGGAAATGTCACATTTTTTGCAGTCTTTTAGTCAACATAAAATGTTACAAATAGTTACAATCTAATTAATGATATTATGTGGCAATTAATTACTACCCATATAACACTTAATAATCATTTATTGTTTTAGATGAGAACAGCTTTTTACAGACATTACAAAAAGTAGGAAACATAGCATAAATAATGATAATAAATGCATATTAATGTTTTTCAAATAAATATTATATAATAATAAATATTGAAATATGATTTTTTTTTTTAATGATACGGTATAAAACTAAAACTGCCAGTAGGTGGCGGTAGGTCACTGTCTGAGTGAATCGTTTAGTCATTCACTCAACCGATTTGTTTAAACGGCTGATTCATTCCGAAATTAATAAAGTGACTGTCTTTATGAATAAGTCACTGAATCGGCTGACTCAATTCATTTAAAAAATGCAGATTCATTCATTACAACAGTTAGCGGTACACACACACACACAAACACACACACATTTAATAATAATAATAATTTTAATGTGTTTTTTTCCATAATCAATTGCACCAAATGTAACAACAATGACGATGCATGTAAAATAAATAAATAAATAATGTCGTATACTGACCCTGACAGGAAGTTGCATTGTGGTACACATGTCCCTCCTCTGCTGTAGTTCTTACAAGACACACACTGATTGGGTCCCGGACCCCAGCAGCCCTCAGATGAACACAGGGGATCACACACATGCCCTTCTTCAACTACAAACACACAGCAATGATGAATATAGTTAATTAGCAATAATGAATAATGATATTTTTATCTTTAATATTTTTAGAATGTTTTCATGTTCTTTCACATTTAATAAGCAACATATTCCAGAGGACTTCTATGCAGGAACCCTCTCCAAGAGAAGTTGTGTCTTTAAATTCATGGCACTATCAGAATTAAAGAGATAGTCCACCCAAAAATGAACATTTGCAAAAGAAGATATTTTGAAGCTCATCAAGCAGTTACAGTTCTCACTGACTTCGAATGTATTTTTTGTCAATGGGAACTGAAACTAAACTCTTTGGTTACCAATATTCTACAAAATATCTTATTTTGTGTTCCACAGAAGAAAAACAATTACATTAATTACATGGGGGTGAGTAAAAAATAACAGAATTTTCATTTTTGGGTGAACTATCCCTTTAAAACCACTTCCTAATGACAAACTAGTCTTTCAGACAACCCATAACTAGTCCATTTTAAACATTTTGGTAGTACAGCATGTACTCACTGCACTGCTCTTGTGGGTGGTTGTCTTTGATGTCGAGGGGTTTCTGGCGGCGCCGAGGGCTGCTCCCGAACAGACGTGTCCAGTTCACAGTGTGGTGATAACAGAGCTGCTTGTTTCCAGTGATGTAGATGCCTCCGTCACCGATCCGTTTCAGTGAGCGAAGACCCAGGGACTTCAACGTAGGAATCTTCATCACCAAAAGCGAGTAACCCCTAAAGGAGAACATGTGGAAAGGTCATTTGAAAAATAAAAGACAAATGAAATTACATGGTTCTTTCAAGTCAACATGAAATTGACTGACACATTTTTTTTTTTATTCGGATTGCTGGTTTCATTGATGCATGTGAAAATCTATAGATTCCTAATTGATCAAATCAAGTCCCACTGAATATGTTTCATTCAGAAATCTATCAGTTAATGAGTTCAGTTTATTCTTGATTCTTTTTAGCATGAATATTTTCATTTAGATTTACCTTTTAAAGGTTTGTGTTTTTTGTCTCTAATGCCACCAAGGCTGCATTTATTTATTTTTTAAATAGAGTAAAAACTGTAATACTATGAACAATTATTACAATTTTAAATAACTGAAATTTTAATATTTATTATTTGAAATAGAAATCCTTTGTAAGATTATAAATATCTTTACTGCCACTTTTGATCAATTTAATGCATCCTTGCTGAGTAAAAGTACAAAAAAATGAATATAACTACAAACCTTTGAATAGTAGTGTATGTCAGATAACTAACTAAAATAGGTTGTGAACACAATTTCATGTTGACTTTAAGACTCTTGAAATCCCAGTCTAAAACTGCTGCAATGTGTTAGTTGCAACAACAAAATCAACCTTCAAAAAATAACATCACTTCCGTTCCATGTACTTTCATGAGGACCCTAGCCATATAATTCAAATAACATCTCAAGAGCCTCATTCATAAATGAACATTTCATGATCGACAGAAATGCTTCCATGCAAGATTCCCAACCACCAATCTGAAGCTTAGAAATACCACACCACTGAGCGGATTGTAAAGCACTTAAAATATGAGATTCGAATGATTTATTTATGAATATATAGAATGATCAAGCAAAGAGAGAAAAAGGAGTACAAGCTAAAAGCTAAACACACAATCCTACCTCTTACTGCTTATTCCTCTGGAGGTAGAGCATGAAAGCAGTACAAAAATTAATAATGAATGTCACACAACTTTTAGAAATGTCAGGCAAAAATGAGATCGGAATTATAATACTGACATTTTTTTTTTTTTTTTACTTTTCCAAAGAAACTTTGTAACTATTTAGAATTGTTTTCATTAATTAAAAAATTAATATTTGATGAAAACCTTAAACTTACAAAACTTACATGAAAAATAAAACTTGCATACTTAAATAAAATAAACTAAATATCAAAATAAACTAAATAAATAATAAAAACTAAGAAACACATAACATGTAATAAAATGATAATATATTAATAGTACTAAATTGTTTAACTTGTTGCTAGGCTGTTGCATACTGGTTCAAATAAAAAAAATCCCTACACTACATATGGTCCCACCTTAAGTGTAAGTAAGGTTTTTTTTTAATTGTTTAATTGTCAGCTAGATAAATCCAATCACTTCGAAAAGTAATAGCACACCTCTCCATTACAAGTTGGATGATTTAAAGTATCGTTCATGTCTGTAGCACAAACAGTGCAAGCACAGCTAATAACATGAATGCTTTGTTTACACTGATGCAGAGTTAAGAAATCAGGAGACAATGTAAATGACTAACAAACAAAGGATGGGCGGGTTGCTCACCTGTACAGAGTTCTTCCCTGTATTGTTGCTAGATTTGAGAAGACAGAAAGATCTTCCAGCTCTTCAGGCCAAGACTGAATACTCAGAATGTCTGTCAAGCAGACAGAAGACTGAGTTAGATGATGTACAGAGAGGGCAGAAGAAATGACAACGATACACACACCTGTGATTTCTCTGACAGTGTTGAAGATCTTCAGTTTCTTTGGATTGAGAGCACTAATATTATTGTAACGGTCTCTGTAGAGGAAAGAAAGGTACAGAAAGGTCACCATTTCTGAACAGCATGCGATGCATATTGCAACTATATTTGGGTCACTTTTGGCCAAGTGGACTTTTACAAAATAAACTCCTTTCACGCTCTTATTAGTTTAATTTGTACAAGAGTGGGTAATAAAGGAGACCACTTTCATTTTTGTCATGAACATTTCAATCACCAGTGTCTCAAATGCTGATGATCTCAAATCTCACCCTCTAATTCCTGTTACAAGGAAATGCAGGCTGCCCTGAATCTTAGTGCAGTTTATGAAGCTGTCGATGTTCTGAGAGTCTACGGTCTGTCTGGAAGGTGTACCAGTGCCAACACATGCTGCACAAAGAGAGAAATCAGAGAGAACACAGGTATGGTTGAGAACACACAAAGATGGACATGAAGGAGATTGTGCTTGCTTCTGAACGAACAGTGAAGCACCTTTTAATAATAATGCTAAGCAATAACAATGCAACTCATCTTTGGAGACATACAAGAGTGGCATACTGTTCATTAAAGGTCAAAAGGTCAAAGACAACTTTATTGTAATTTTTAGCACATTTTGTGGCAATGGTTAAAAATAAAACAGTTCCTTCAGGGAACAATGGTGACACATTCAGTGGATATTCAAAAGGACTAAGAAAAAGACAACAGTGAATATAAACAACGGCATTACAAGTATCATATTCAGGAAAATCAGTAAATCGTTCATAGTCTTTAGAGGTTTTTGCTTGTAAAGTATTTTTTTCCCCCAAAAACTGCAAAAAGCTTTACATAAACTATTGGTCGAATGTTTGAAATAATTTATTCATGTTTTTAAATGAATTAAGTGTTTTTTGCTCACCAAGGTGGCATTTATTTGATCAAAACTACTGTAAAAACAGTAATATTGTGAAGAATGATTTTCTATTTTCATATTTCTTTAAAATGTAATTTATTTCTGTGATGCAAAGCTGATTCATCATTACTCCAGTCTTCAGTGTCACATTATCTTTCAGAAATCAAAAAATGCTGATTTTCTGTTCAGTTGTTGTGCATTATTACTGGTGCTTAATTATTAATAATGGTTCTTATTATTACCAATGTTGAAAACATTGCTTAAACACTGCTTAATATTTCTGTGGAAACTCATACATTTACCGTGATACATACTGAGGACTGAAGTAATGATGCTGAAAATGTAGCTTTGCATCACAGGAATAAATTTCATATTAAAACATACTAAAATTGAAAACAGCTGTTTTAAATTGTAATAATATTTCTATTTTACTGTATTTATTGAATAAATAAATGCAGCCTTGGTGAGCAAAGATGTCTTTGAAAACCATTTTAAAAAATCGCAATAATGCCAAACTTTTGACCAGCAGTGTAAAAAAAAAACAATAGAAGTCTATGGTATGCACCCATTTAGATAACTGGGCAAACAAAGTGTGCATGTTACCTTTCGGACAGAGACCCCCACACGGCTCACATCTTTTCACCCCTTTTTTATCCACCTCCATCTTGTCTGCCGGACAGCTGCTTACACACGAACTGCCGTCTACAACAAAGTTAGCTGAAGAGAACAGAGCAAATAAGTATACACTGTATGAAAATTGTCAAACTATTACCATAAATCCTACAAAAACCCTATTTAGGTCCCATTAGGAGAGTGGGATATTCAGTTTTGGCATTAAAACCTACATTGCTATGTTACAGGTAAATGATTTCCATGTAACCCAAGGAATCACTTACTAGGACAATGTGATACACATATTGTGCCATATTGGTATTTTGCATTAGGATTTGGTTCCAATTTGAACGTCACTTTATTATAGATGAGAGCCTGTGGACACTGCGGCACACATGACCCCGAGTTGTTAAAATTTCTGCAGGCCTGTGAACACACAGACACCCAAGTCAAAGCAAGCAAGGTTTGATTCATGAATCTGGTATGTAAGTGCAACACATGTTCAAGAACTGGTGAAAGTGTGTTGAACATACAAAGCAGTTGGTGTCGAGCGGCCCGGTGCAGCCCCCGGCACACTCTATGTGACAACACTCGCTCGGGCTGCGGCCGAAACAGCGGCCATTGCACTGTGGTGCGCACACTGTCTTAGTCACTGAGAACAGGAGAGAAACATAGTGAGCAGTGTGTGTGAGAGATACTGAAAGTTGAACAACGTGTGTGTGTGTGTGTGTGTGTGTGTGTGTGTGAGGTTCCAAGGACTTACAGATTTGACAAGAGTCATTTCCTGGACCCCAACACCGACCCCCACAAGACCCATGACAGGGAACTAAACAGAAAATGCACTATAATTTATACATTTCCATAAGATCATCATTCAAACTTAATATCACAAGTAAATCTTCAACTACATATATAAAATATATAAAATGGTGAACCCCTTTAAGCCTCCTGAGTTATGAAAAGACAAAATTTGAGCCTCTGATAACATTTATTTATTAAAATGTATCATAAATATTTATATAAAAATTGTTTGTTCATTATACACTACCATTCCAAAGTTTGTGGTCAGTAAGATTTTAAAAAAGAAATTAATAGTTTTCTTTTACTTGATTTGAACTGATAAATAGTGGCAGCAAAGAAATGTATAATGTTACAAAAAAAAAATTTCAAATGAATGCTGTCATTTTGAAAGTTCTATTCATCAAAGAATCTTGAAAAATAAAATGTATCAGGGTTTCCACAAAAATATCAAGCAGCAAAAACTCCTTTTCAACACTAATATGCTTCTTCAGCAGCAAATCAGCATATTAGAATAATTTCTGAAGACTGGAGTAATGATGCTGAAAAATCAGCTTTATACCATCACATGAATAAATTACATTTTATAACATATGAAAATAGAAAACATTTATTTTAAATTGTAATAATATTTTACATTATTACTTTTTACTGTTTTTTTAATCAAATAAATGCAGCCTTGCTGAGCGTAAGAAACGTCTTTCAAAAACAGTAGAAAAATCCCATTAGTAAAAAGTTACCAATCCCAAACTTTTTAACAGTATATTAACATATATTATATTACATTGTAATGTTTTATGTCTCCTTACATTCTGGTCCATTGTCTTCGATGATGATTTCTGCCCCACTGTCTTTCACAATGTCTAGCCAGTTAATCTGCGGTGCATAGCTCAATATATATATATACAGGTGCATCTCAAAAAAGAACACAATATTAGAATATCGTGAAAAAAGTTATTTTTTGTAACTTATTTCAAAAATGAAACTTTCATATATTCTAGATTAATTCCATGTAAAGTAAAACAAAAATCCAGTATCTCGAAATATTAGAATATTTACATTTGAATTTCATTAAATGACCATCCCTACAGTATAAATTCCGGGTATCTCTTGTCCTTTGAAACCACAATAATGAGGAAGACTGCTGACTTGGCAATGGTCCAGAAGACGATCATTGACACCCTCCACAAAGAGGGTAAGTCACAGAAGGTCAGCCAGTTAATCTGCGGTGCATAGCTCAAGAATTTATTCTGGATGATCTGCACTCCACCCTCCAGGATCTCTGCAGATAACAATAAATATGAGAAATATGGAAATATTAAGATAAGATCAAAGATATAATGGTAGAACTCGGAACTTGAAACCTGTCCTCTAAACTCTCAGAAAGAAGATATAACATTTTGCATTTCATTTGGAAATCAAGGTCTGGAGCCTGCAGGAAGACTGGAGAGACACAAAATCCAAGCTGCTTGAAGTCTAGTGTGAAGTTTCTGAAGTCAGTGATTATTTGGGGTGCCGTGACGTCTGCTGGTGTTGGTCCATTGTGTTTTATCAAGTCCAAAGTCAATGCAGCCGTCTACCAGGAGATTTTGGAACACTTTATGCTTCCATCTGCCGACAAGCTTTATGGAGATGCTGATTTCCTTTTCCAGCAGGACTTTAGCACCTGCCCACAGTGCCAAAACCACTTCCAAGTGGTTTGCTGACCATGATATTACTGTACTTGATTGGCCAGCCAACATGCCTTACCTGAACTCCATATGGAGTCTATGGGATATTTTCAAGAGAAAGATGAGAAATAGATGAGCTGAAGGCTCAATAGTACCTCAGCAGTGCCACACTGATGCTGTCATTTGTGCTAAAGGAGCCCCGACCAAGTATTGAGTGCATAAATCAACATATTTGAAAGATCTTGAGCTTTTCTGTTTTGCAAATCCTTTTTTTATTGATATTAGGAAATATTCTCAACATACTTTAAAGATCTTGAACTTTTCTGTTTTGCACATCCTTTTTTTGATTGATCTTAGGAAATATTCTAATATTTTGAGATACTGGATTTTTGAACTTTCATGAGTTGTAAGCTCTAATCATCAAAATAAAATAAAATATAAATGAAAAAAACTTTTGAAATGTTTTACTTTGCATGTAATGAATCTAGAATAAATGAAAGTTCCACTTTTTGAAATAAGTTGCAAAACATTAACTTTTTCATGATATTCTAATTTTTTGAGATGCACCTGTGTGTGTGTGTGTGTGTGTGTATATATATATATATATATATATATATATAAACACAAAGAGATTTTACAAATATTTTTTTCTAGGATTTTTCCTGGAGAAAATTTTAAAGTTGATGCCACAAAACAAGGGTGTTGTGAATGTTTGCTATGGTTTTGTTAGGTGATTGTTAGGTGATTGCTATGAATAATCAAACATTACTAATAAAGATACAGTATATACTGTGTTAAGATTTTACAAGAAGTAACATTCATATTGATTCCACACATTGAGTCACAATGAAATTAGTAAGAGGTTAAAGGAAGGGCAATGGAAAAAATGACAAACATGTTCATTGATTCACACACTCAGAGACACACAATGGAAAGACAACATGGATTGTACTTCACATTAGAAGTGTCGTGTTTGCTGAAGCAGGCTGGGACATGCTCGAGCCTAATTGTAGCCATCTAACATCAATCTCCTAGAATTTATCACGATGAACAATATACTATAGGATTTTTCTACAAGCTATAAGGCAGTCACAACTATGTGTCGGTCCAAGTTGGGGTTTATGAAGAGGTAATGCTCATTTGTGGGTGAATTCCTTGAATAAACCACACACACATAAAAATATTTTTCTGTCCGTTGACTCACTCTTCCACACCACACCCTCCAGAGAGTCTTGTTGCCATAGAAAATTTGTGGGCGTTTTGACAGGATGTGTTTCTGTGGGTGAGAATGTGTCACCTGTCACGTATGTGTGAGCGCACCTGTCAAGTGTGTGAGGCCCAGCTCCTTTAGTCCGTACACTCCGTCTTTCTGATAGTTGACGAGGATGGCGAGAGCGAAGCGATCTTCGTACAGAGACGTCCCTCGGATGACTCGCAGCTGTTCCAGCGGTAAACGTCTGAACTGGTTTATGGCGATGAGGATGTAGCCCGTTACTTCACGGATAGACTGTGAAGAGGGGTCGGGTTACACATTCATCAAATGAAACATAATAGACATACAGACGCAGACATGAGCCCACACAAATTAATCTGGTGTGAGCTCATGCACAGCTTATGCATGCTTTATTCAGAAGTGGCCTGATCTCTTGTTACATCTTTAGATCCTACAAACTTGCTCTATTTTCCTCACCTGTAGGAATGACAAATCGCGGTTGTGCTCCATCTGTGTGATCTCCAGGTTTCCTATGACAATCTTGCAGCCCGTGTACATCTCCTTCATGAGCTTGTACTGGACCTCAGAGCTTCCTGTCACACTCAGCGAGTTCTGCGTGCCTGTACACACTGTAAAGAGAGAGAGAGAAAGAGATAATTAATTGTAGCAAAAAACAAATGCGCGACCATTTGGAATTTAAGTTTTTGAAAGATGCTCTTATGTTCACCAAAGCTGCATTTATTTGATCAAGAATATAGTAAAATTGTGAAATATTATTACAATTTTAAATAACTGTGTTCTGTTTTAATATATTTTAAAATGTAATTTATTCCTGAAATGTCAAAGCTGAATTTTCAGCATCATTATTCCAGTCACATTATCCTTCAGAAATCACTCTAATATGCTGATTTGCTCAAGAAATGTTGTTTAATATTTTTATGGAAACCGTGATAGGCCTACATTATTTGAAATATAATTTTTTTAACAATATACATGTCTTTACAATCACTTTTCATCAATTTAATGCAACCTTGCTGAATTAAATTATTAAATTAAATTTAAATATTAAATTAAATTAAAAATCTTTTACTTAACTTTTACTTAAACTGTCAAACTTTTGAACAATAGTGAATAATACATTTCTATTGAAAAGAAAATGTTCAAATATCTTTGTATAATGACTGCTACAATATATAATATCTATCATATTACTCAGTGTCCTCTGTTAATATTTAATATTTCATGCCTATTTATATGTGGTTAAAATTAGTGGGATAATGACCAGCAATTGTATATAAGCAAAAAATAATTCAACAGGGGTCATTATTTACAGTAATGACTGAATGCACATTATGCCATATTCAATGCAAAATAAAATCTGAAAAGATGCATCATCTGATTATATCACAATCTCAGCAAATATTTAATATTTCATGCCCATTTATATATTAATGTGGTAAGAAGTTTTGTAATTACTAGGATAATGACCAGCAATTGTGTATTATCATCACAAAAATAACTTGACAGGAGTCATTATTTACAATAATGGCCGACTGACTGCACATTATGATCTATTTAATGCAAAAGAAATCTCCAACTGAGCATCAGCTGATGATATCACAGATAGAGCTGTTGTTGTTTTTCTTTCATTGTTGTTCATGTAGTGACATCAGGAAGGCAAAATGAAAGGTAATAGAGGACTAAAGGAGTTTGAGGTGAAGCTATTTTGCATTTCCAATTTTGCCCTAGTCAAAACAAGCCATTACTGAGGGTGGGAGTCTAGGAAAAAATATTCCCATTAATACTTAGAGGTGCTCAGAAATGCCCGCAGGAGCCTTTACAGATTAAAATTCAAAGAAACAGAGTTCTTCTGAGAATATGGTCCATTTATGACCCATTAGGATCAGAATGCAGGTTAAAAAGAGCATATGAGATTAAAGAATCACACATTCATAATGGCAGGTATAGAAGTGTTTCTGTCCTCATAATGCTTCTCTTCATTTCATGCAAACGAACTGTAAAACACAGGCACTTACTGATAACACGTACATACTGTAAACTGTTAACAGTGTTACAGAGTCCAACAAATGGGCCTAAATGTCTCTTGTGAAATACAAGCAGATGTTCGGTCCAGCCACACTGGTGTGATGTGTCGGCCAGACATTGTGCTTTTCAGAAAGAATTCTTGTAGGTCCAGGCTGTATTTAGAAATCTTTTAGTTCTTATCAAACTTCTCCTTTGGTAAACGCAGGGAACGCTCAAACACAGATCACAGCAGTCTTATTTTAGTATTTTTGATATACTGTATGTTTATAGGTTTTGTTAGTATTTTGAATTAGATTTTATTTTATATTTTTCACTTTAATTTTAGTTTGTTTTATTCATTTTGTTGTCTGTGTCTTTTTTTGTGTAAAAATGTTATATTTTGTTTTAGTTATTTTACTACTTCAAGTTAGACTAATTGAAAATGAGAAATTAAAATATAATAAAATCATTTGTATATATATATATATATATATATATATATATATATATATGTATATATATTAGGGGTGTAACGGTTCACAAAATTCATGGTTCGGTTCGATACGACACGGGTGTCACAGTTCGGTATGTTTTCGATACAGCAAAAACAAAGAAATGCCAGACAAATCCGAACCGTCATATTTGTGTACCGTTACACCCCTAATATATATATTGTGTTATTTTAGTTATTTATTTTGTTTCAAGTACTTATGGTCTCAGTTTTAGTTTTAGTTATTTAGTTTAGAATCACAGAACAGTGAGATAATTGGTATATTTTCTTAAATTCTCTTTCCACTTGGTACAAAATACATGCTAAACAAATACAGTCTTGCCTTTAACACATACACAGTTCCCATATTATAGATACATGTACTGAGAACCTGAACAGATAAGATCTGGAGTTGAACTTTAGGGTGTTATGGCCCACAATGGGACAGGTAAGGCAAGAAAAGGCTTCAAACCATCAGTTAAACCAGAAGTATTGAACTTTTACCTGCTTAGATTATTCTCTTGAGGAAAAAGACCCCAGTATAATCACACCAAACTCAACAAATCATGCAATTAAAAGTCTGAGATTTCAATATGAAACATAACATCTGAGTTATGCTATCAAATTAATTTGATTTCATTTAACTCTATGTCAGCACATGCCTCAATTATAAAATTTAGTCTACTTCAGACATTTGACCTGAGATACCTAAAAGGTTGCTAAAGTTGAAACAGAACTGCGAGCTTGCATTATGAAATAGCAACCTCTGAGCGTTGCAATTGTCCCGTAGGTTTAAGTTCACAGAAGCGATTAAATGGAAGCAGCAACACTGCATTCCTCCTGTAATATTCCTAAGAACAGGAGCCCTAAAACAAACAACCACAAGTCTCATTTCATAACTCTCCTTGTGAAAAAGAAGTGCACCTTATTGTATTGAATGTGTACTTACTTCAACTATTATAAGAGTTTGTGTTTAAAAACTGTACTTGCAGAAAATATAACATTAATAAAATAGAAGGCCACTTAAGTGTAAAGTTCATTTAAAAAGTCCTGGCAGAATATTACCGGTACATTTCCTGTTAAATTTACGGACATTTCCTTCAACCCTAAAACAAAACACAAGGTAAACACCTATTAACAAAGTAGATTGGGCCATATTTCTATACAGATTTTTCTTAAAGTGAACAGTATGTTTCTTAATACACAGACGTACACTTTTAAAAAGCAATAATGTCAATCAACATGTCAAATTAAACATTTTACTAATAATAATATAATATAATAACAGTTTCCTGTTTCCTGGTCCCATTTGACTTACATAGTATTTGTCCATACTGTTTGGTTACCCACATTCTTCAAAATATCTTCTTTTATGCTTAACAGAAGAAAGTCAGTCACATATTTAAAATGACATGAGGTTGAGTAAATTTTGGTGAGCTATCCTTTTGAAAGAAGCATGAATTTAAAAAAAATTTTTTTTTTTAAACTTTAATATTCTGCTGTTCTAAAAGCATGAATGTGTTCATGTGAACGGCCCTCAGTGTGTGCACTCAAGTGTGCAGACAATGATACAATGCTCCCATTCAACCAGAGCGCGAAAACAAGTGTAAGAACCGCCAAAACTCAAACAAACGCTCACAAAATACACACGCTAGGTTCAACTATCAGGTTCACATCACAGGTATGAGAAACAAAAGCCAGGGGAGGTCTAAAGCGGCACACAACAGAAACTTGGCCGCAGTCACAAAGAGATTATCCAAACCTGACTGATTGGTTCTCACAGGCATAAATACACATAAATCTACACATTAATGTCTGAATCATTTATTGTCATTAAAGGGTCAGCTAACACACAACACACAGGCATGCACACACACAGAAACCATACCTAGCTTAATGACTTTGTTTTGCACCTAAAAGCCATTCAAAGTTACAGGTTACTGCTGTTCCCCGGGCAAGAGAAGGAATTATTTTGATTTATCAGACACATGTTTGTGTATGTGAGTATGTGTGCATGCAATATGAAATAAAATAAAATATAATAAATAATTGATGTTTTTTATTTTATTTATAAAAAAAATATTTTTTTTATCCCATCTTAATATGCTATAAGAAAGTCAGTCATAGGTTTATATTTATGAAAACTGTAAACACTATGGTGCTATCAAAATATTGGGTAATACTTTCCAATAAGTTAATTGTTAATTAGTTAATGCATTGTTTACCCACACATTACCCATACATTGTTTTTTAGCTTGAAAACCCCAGGTAACATTTAATGTGATTACATGGAAAAAGGTTAAATTCTTACACTGTTCAATTTTTTTATTTGTAATGTTATAAAGTATCCCTTTAATTGACATTCGGAGAAAAGAGTACTACTGATCAGAAAGGACTACTTCAAATTTTAAAACATTTGTTTTCTGTGATACAAGATGAGATCAATTATGAATTTTTTTATATTTACTGTATATTTAATGTTCATTTAGATGCAATCCCCCACACTGTTTTAGTTATTTACTACATAAATACAAAGTTCTACCATGAAACTCTAGGCCAATAGGTTCTAACTCATCTGATAGAATCACATCATTACTGAAGTCGTTTTAATTGCATGTGCAGCCAGGGACGGACTGGGAGTAAAAAACGGCCCTGGATTTTCTCCCAAATAGGCCCACCACAACTACAAACAACCACTACTATCTCACAATATTACAGCAATCAATGTATTGCATTTATGGCAAATAACATCACAAAACCCATAGTGGCCCTGCTGAAAAAAACAATAGAAACCATCACAGAAATTCTAATGGTTTCCACTACAAATGCCATTACAAACATTACAAACAGGGATTGAAATTAACTTTTTTACTCACGAGCCAATTTGGCTACTACATTTTTAAGTTACCGGCCATTCATAACTTCTACCAGCCAAAAAAACCCCGAAATAAACCAACAGCTTGAGTCTGTCTACAATGTAGACTCTACATGACAAAGCGACTGTTGCAAATCATTTTGTGTCGGTACTCTGACTCCTGAATTTTTTGATATTTTTCATATTCTGTGTGGTCAGTTCACAGCAGTGATAGAAATTAATCTTGTCCAATAAGTTTAGATTGATTTTTACCTTTATAAATCCATTTGTACTAAAAGTGTGCATCATCTTTTGGGTCAAATTCTTACATTTAATCAGGCAATTATAACAATACTACATTTAGGCTGTTACTAAACAAATGAATGCCAGTAAGTGGCAGCAAGTCACTGTTAAGTGAGTCATTGCAAATGAACCTAATCATTTAAACGGTTGATTTTGCTCAGAGACGCAAAACAGCTGCTGTGTTTGGAATGTTTTCTGTTGGCGAAATAACGCAAAAACAGCCAATATGGTGTCTAAAACGTAAGTCTCTTGATATTAACTTATTGTTTATTGAACTGTTGTATAAAATCAATATCACATTTGTAACCAAGTGAACATAACTTACGAAAAGTAACCCGCCAAACTGGCTAGTGATTTGACAGCGTTACCCGCCACATCTGATTTTTACCCGCATTTGGCGTGTTGGCGGGTGTTAATTTCAAACCCTGATTACAAACCATCAACTTTTAATCATTAAAACCATTAAATAATGGTTTTCTGTAGTGTGTTTTGGGAAATGCTCCATTAGGATTTAGTGGTTTTAACAATAATAATATTTAACAACAATAATAGGCAACTAATTACCAGTAGAGACCAATAGAGTCCATTACAATTTCCATTCAAACCAATACAATTTCCATTATAACCAGTAAAAGCATTACAAATTCTATTGATGGTTTCTATTGTTGTTGTTTTTTTCAGCAGGGGATTGAACTGCATTAGCGCCCCCTTTTGTCGGCTGTCAACGTCACTTAATTTGACACTTTTTCTTTGATGATGAACCAGCCAAGCCGACGGCCGTCGAACGTTCTCCAGAACGTCCAGATGGCCAGTCCGCCCCTGTGTGCAGCCAATGAGCTTGCTGCTCAACATTCAAATACTTGGCTAGTGTTTGCTGTAGAAGTTGTAGCGCACTTCAGAAACCCTCCACCTCCCCCAGCTCCACCTGTATAGATCTGCAATGGGGTACTTTTATGTACGCTATATATGGGGGTTATTTCATATGTGTTATATGTGCAGCAGCAGTATTTCTGACATGCTCACAGCAGCATATCTCTGGATGGACTGGCAGTAGCAAATCTTGGTACTGGTTCTGCTGCAGCAGCACAGCAGATCTATTCCACCAAGACCAAACACATTAACATTGCCTTGCACATTACCATGCTAAAACTCTCCGGGAGTTGTCGTGACAGAAATAAAGAAATGCATGATTTGTAAGGGATTCTATTCAGGGGGTCGCAGTCAAATCAGATTGGTCATGACGTGGGATTATGTGACTCTGTCCAGTAGTTTCACCTGTTGCCAGATCACCTGGACTACACACCTGTTGTTGTTCATGCCATTGTGCTCCACCCTTCTTAGTCAACACTACTGCACAGGCCAAAGGTCAACCAGTGCATCAAATCACATCTCACTCTGTCTCTGTATATGAGCCAAAACAGATTGTTTTCCTTGTGTTGTCTAGTATTTTCTTCATGGATACTTCCTGCATTTGATAATTCCTCATTAGCAAGTACAAATTATGTGAATGTACGCAATTTACAAAATACTGTATTTAACCACTGATGCAACCCAATATTTAAGATTTGGGTGGAATTAACAATAAAAACATACATTACGACTGACCACTATTTTGAAAACTGGGATCCTCTTTGAATAGGGCCACAGTTGACCTTCTGTGTAGACGAAACCAAAAAACTAGACAACTAAACAACTAGACAATATTCTAGCGAACATTAATGAGATTCAGTACAAGAAGTAGGAAAATGCAGTTGGCATCACAAGTTCAAACTCCTCTGTGATTCCTTCTTTTCAGAAGACAGCCGTTGAGTCAGGGAACAGGTTAAACTAAATCTACTGGTTGAGTCACTTGTTATTTGAACTGAGCACTGATTTAGTACAGGAACAAATCTCTCCTTTTACACTCACAGTCTAAGATAAACAAATATATCTCGCTTAGACACAATGGTGCAGAAACAGGTTTTCTGAATGCATTAGCTACGGACAGCAACATCACTATTTTGGGATGTATATTGTGTAAGCACATATAGGTTTTAACACATTTTGTTACAAATTTGTGGAGCTGTTTGTAAATACTCCTTTTAAAATATATTACATTATATATATATGAACAATATTTGTATGCAAATTACACTTTATTATTACTATTACACTTGCATGAAATTTATGCAAAGTGTCACTTTAATAAAAGTAGCAAATGCATAATGCATTAGCATCCTAAATATTAAAATGCAAATGTTTATGCTATTCTCTTATGTCTTTCCAGTCGCATACAGGTGCATTGTGCATACAGTAAAAACAGATTAAGCCTACCTTCATGTTTACCTTCCTCTGTCTGAGCGCGCGCAGGTGAACGGAGCGCGAGACACAGCGCGAGCATCTGCAGCAGAGCAGCATTCATCTTCATCATCCTCATCCTCAGAATATTCCCAATGTGAGGTCAGTCCGTCAGTCTGAGCAGACAGTTAAATATTCATGGCCAAAGAAGCGGGGAAGAGATGATGCTCCCTTCACTTCGGCTTGTCCAAGTTTGACAGAAATTTGACAGACGTTTTTTCTCTCTCTCTCTCTCTCTCTCTCTTCTTTCCTTTTTAATCCGAAAAGTTCCAAATATTACATTCAGTAAGTAATTACATTACATTTAGTTACATTACATTACGTAGAGCAAACGAAAAAGATACCAAGTAGTCCATTTCCGTTTGTTGCGGAAAAGTTTATAGACTTATGCTATAAATCCTTCGGTATAGGCTACGTCAGTTCAAAGCTAACACTCTGATTTAAACAAAAATTGTAATACAATCAATAGTTTGAGTTGAAAAGCGCCCAGAATACAGACGAGGTTAAAAGATTTGTAAATATGAAAAGGCTCGAGCACGCAGGAATGCTGTCTCGAGGTTTGTTACCTGTTGACGCGTACAGGTGAATGATGCTGAACGCTGATTGGGTCTGATCAAGGTGACGTCGACCTTGTAATTCCAAAGCCCGTGCACTGATTTATTTCAAACATGTAAACAAGTCATAAAGCCTTGATTGTGAACTCCTGACCATCATAAACAGATGAATTTCCCTCAGTAAGCGACAGTCCTCACAGCCTACACTGAAAACACCGACGAGATTGTGATAGATTTATGTGCCAAGATTGCGCTCTCTCGCTCTCTCTCTCTCTCTCTCCCTGAACAAACACATACACACATCCGGGCTTTGCTGTATCGATAATAATGTTATCTTGGAGTGAGGGTCTCATTGTGTGTAAGTCAAGGCTGGCATTGTGTCCCGGACCGGTATCGTCCACAAGTTTATCAGTGTTTCTTTGATGGCTCTGGACTCACAGTCTCACAAAGAACACTTTGTGCCTCAGTTCAGATGGCTTCAGACCTCTGAGACAAGAAAGTGTTTAGAGCACACGCTCACTCTCAGACAAAATAAATAACTGCCAAAATAATACATTTTAAATCATATTTTAATATTATTTATATTTGTATTAATTTTTCCATTTTGATTTCCTTTTTGTAATGTATTCATTTTAATTCTATAAATTCTAAATACCTCACAAATCACACATCACTCTGAAACAAAAACCACAGCAATTCAATAATTGTCAAAATAATACATTTTAATATTCTTTTTTTAATTGTATTTAATTTTTATTTTTATATATTTATTTTGTTCAATTTTAATGTCATTTTTGGATTGTACTCACTGAAATTCCCCAACAGTAATCACTAAACTGTTACTCTCAAACACAGAAATCACATCAATTGAATAACTGACAAAATAATAATGTATAATTTTAATTATATACATTGTTATATTGTTTATTTTTTCACATTTTTCTAATTTATTCTAAATGTCTCAACAGTAAACACTACACTTTGAGAGCACACATCACATACTGTGCCTCACAATAATGCATTTAATTGTAATCTAAAATAATTATTAAGCTTTTTTTTATTTAAAAAAAAAATACACTTTATATATTTTTTTCTTTATTATTAAGCATATTCCTTATAGTTCCTCAAATTTGACATGGCCCAAATGGATGCTACACGTTAATCAAATTATTATTTTAAAGTGTTTTTCTTTTCACAGCATGCAATGTTTTCTAATTGGTACTTTTTGAACAATTAACTTCCCCCTTGTTCTCCATTCAGACAGCATGTGAGTGTAGTCACAGTTGGAAAACAGGTTTTAAAAACCAGCTCTTCCTGCACTACCGGTTTGTATGAGGCACTGATTGAACAAACAAGTAGTACACAGACAGACAAACACACACACAGACAGACAGACATACTTACACAACAACCCTTAATGAATTCTTTACCGTCCTCTATATGCTCTGATACATCATATGCTATTTTTTCTTTTTACAGGGAAGTGCAGCGCATAAAAAAAGGTATTTTATTATTTTGGGACACATTTCTTGTTCATTAATATCTCACCAGCCAACAGCATTATGGGCCAGAACACACTCTGATTGAGCTTTCTCACACGCTTCCTACTTTGAACATCTCATGGGTTTGTAAATGTTTCGCACTCTATATATTATACATTGGCAAGCACATATGCAGTAATGCGAATATGCTTTTTTGTTCTTTACTTCCTTTCACAAAGTGAAAAGTGTCTGAAACTGTTGGTTTTCACAATAGTTCTGCCCTCTTCTGGTGGACATAAGGGACAGCAGTGCAGAAAGAGACTCGATATAGGCCTACTCCACGACTCCAGCTTAGAAGTTTCAAAGCACAGTTTATCTTTGTGAGACGTTTGCGATAAATAATGCAATCCATTAAAACTAATTAAATCTAGGATTAGACATGATCCATTTCTGGCGCCTACCAGAGATCAATATAAGACATTACACATAATATACAATATGATGAAGTCATTAGGTGGCTTTACTAAAGCATATTCCAGACCAGGAGGGATAGGTTTATTCAACAGTATCCACTATAATCTTCCAGCAGGTGTGGTCATTACATAAGGTTCTTATGTCCACTTAAAAAAATTTGCATTAAAATGTAAAATGGAACCAACACAAAAGAGAGAAGACATGGCAAATAATTTTCATGTTTTTATTTGAGCGTAGCGTTACAGTCAGGGATCGGAGGGAGAGAAAGATTTTTGTGTCTACATCATAATAATCAACAATAATCTTTCTTAATCTACTGTAACAGATAATTACACATTTCATCCATGATTTCTAAGTTCTATTTATTTATTGAAATTGTTTTCCCCTTCATTGATTATGTTCACTGACACTGTATAAGCCATTAAAATGATTTACCCAACACAGTAAAAAAATCAACAAAGAAAATGCATAAGCACACAGAGGTAAAAACACATTCACCTAAATAAATACATAAATAAAAATATAGTATCGAAGAAGATAAAATCAAACTTTAAACCATCCTAAAAAGTCAACCCTAGCTACTCAATAAGCACACAAACTATTTAATGCAAAGAATAAATGCTTTGAAATCAAGCAAACTACCTATTTGAGATTTTTTAACCCCTTTTGTTCCCAGATCAACTAAAACAAAACAAGCAACTCAGTGACCCAATAACTTAGTTAATAAATAACCTTGTGAAAACACACTTTTGTAAGAAGATAAGGCCACAAAACTTAACAGACTGGACGATTCACACTGCAGACTTGTGTAGAACATCGCTGTTTGCATTATATGCTGAAATACTACTGTAGAGTGTGTTAAGCTAACTAAGCTTATGTTCCATTGCCAAACTGGATCATTTGAGGTTAAGTGTCTTGCTAAATACCACAATAAGTTTTGGTAACTCTCCCGTTCCTGCATCACCCACACGCTACAGCGCTCAAAATAATACAAGACTCCATTCGAATCATGTCCTAGGTTGAAAAGACTCGCCTTTTATAATGTTCATACAGTCATAAGAGTCATAACAATGGGTTTTAGTGTAAAGGTGCTGGGTATTAAGTGGGAAGATGCCAAAAATGCAAACTAGAAAACAATGCTAGAAACACATACAATTACAAACAGACTGTGTTAGTGTTAGATTTTTGTGTGATGGATGGATTACTGACACACACGCAATGCAGGAAAAGCGGTTTTGTTGTATTTACACTAGCTAGCATGGTAAAATAGGTAAGCATTTGATTTTTCATTTGTCCTTGTAGTCTGTAACAGATTATGTTATAGAATATGACGTGTTAAGCACAAAAGACAACCTACTTTAAATATACATATCTATATATTTTTCTCATTTCTGAACTATAATAATCCAAAACATCATGAATAAAGCCCAAATGTGTGCACTGATTCAACAAATTCACATTCGTTGGGGGCGATATGTTAGTCTGAACCCACAAAATGCATTATGAGCATGAAACATGCAAACAAACACATAAGCAGACGAGTTATTGTGCAGTTTGCTGCAGACCACTGACATACCGAGGTTTAATGTATGTATGTGTGTGTGCTGTTTTATGCTGTTCACTAATATGAAAGCAAAAGCAAAAAATTTAGTGTCATAACAATCTACTAATCATGTCAGTGGCAAATTAGTATAGCAACTAATAAAGGACTGTGTTAAACAGCATTTCACTATCTATCTATCTATCTACAGTATCTATCTATCTATCTATCTATCGGACTAACAGCACAGCATGCATGCCATGCAGACAATGCTAGAGATTCGTACAAAACAATACCCATGCAACAACTAGCCAAGTCAATTCTACAACAAAGGGGCGTTTGATTGGAAAAAGCTTTATTTACAGCTTCACTTGAATTATGGTGGACAACTCAACAGCACCACGTTTGACTCACAATTTAGGCGAGGGATGTGTGATAAGCGACATTCGTTGTACAGCGTCCATTCTAGTACAGCACGGCCACAAAGCAGCATGCAACACCAACCAGCTTCGTGTGACTAAACACGCACATGCAGATCTAACCTCTACTACACCACAACGCTTAACACGACACCAAGAGAAAGAGCCATGCAAAACACAGCAGGGTATCTAACGCAATCACGAACCGCCGGGATCGCAGACTGTGGATATTGTGTGCGTGAGGAGGCAAACTGCATCATAATCGCATCTACGGAGCATTTCGACAACACGAGGAAATACATAAGCATATTACATAATACATGAGCACGCTCAGACCCAACGATCTTTTTCATGGCAGTCAAGGACAACACTGATCACTGATTGTAAACACGTGAGCGAGAGAGGGAGAGACGATAAAATCGACTAAACGTTGATGCTATAAACCGACACTTTTCGTACAGTGAAATGGAAAAGTTAACAGAGGAAATATTGATCTGCGTGTGAATGCGTGTGCGTACAAACCTACAGATGATTTACACAGAGCCGTAGAAGGCTCCATAAACCACATACTGTGTTTTTCCAGAATACAACCAAAAAAGAACGAAAATTGAACAAAAGAGAAACCAAACATAATGATTCCGAAGGCCAAATTAGTCCCACCCCTTTCCCAAAGCGAGAGACGGCCACGTAATGCAAATCCTGGCCCTCACTTCTTATTCTTGAGCTGATTGGCGAGCCAGTCGAGCCCTTCGTACAGACCATCACCGCTGGTCGCGCAGGTCGCTTGTATATACCAGTTGCGATGGCGGAGCGAATGGAGGCCGAGTTTGTCTGTGATCTCAGCTGCATTCATAGCGTTTGGCAGATCCTGGAGTCAAGGAGGAATATAAAAAGAGAGTAGATTGTGAAATTGAATATTTGCTTAGATAGGACCAGATATTTTTATTCTAAAATAAATATACAATTTAGCCACAGAAATACAGATGATAGATTATGGACTGCCCATTGATGGACATGTGTTCTGTTTATATAAAATGTTATGCTAGTGACCTATATACTAACATTGAAAAGTTTGAGGAAGACTTTTTAATGTTTTTGAAAGAAGCTCACTAGGACTGCATTTATTTGATAAAAAGACACTTAAAACGGTAATATTGTGAAATAGCATTACAAAAAGTGTTTTCTATTTGAATACATTTTAAAATGTCATTTTTTCCGGTGTTGGCAAAGCTGAATTTTCAGCATCATTACTCCAGTCTTCAGTGTCACGTGATCCTTCAGAAATCATTCTAATATGCTGATT